TTCAGGAATCTCCTTCCTCTCTTAAATTCATCTCCTCACTTTTGCATTGTTGATAAAGCTGGAGTGGCAACCCATAATATGGCAACCATGTTAATGTATTTCCACACTGTCCGGCATTGTTAGGACGTCCAGACCTTGTGTGATCTTCAGGAATCTCCCTTCCTCTCTTAAATTCATCTCCTCACTTTTGCATTGTTGATAAAGCTGGAGTGAAAACCCATAATATGGCAACCATGTTAATGTATTTCCACACTGTCCGGCATTGTTAGGACGTCCAGACCTTGTGTGATCTTCAGGAATCTCCCTTCCTCTCTTAAATTCATCTCCTCACTTTTGCATTGTTGATAAAGCTGGAGTGGCAAAACCCATAATATGGCAAACGACGTCCAGTTAATGTATTTCCACACTGTCCGGCATTGTGGGTGGCAAACCCATAGGACGTCCAGACCTTGTGTGTGATCTTCAGGAATCTCCTTCCTCTCTTAAATTCATCTCCTCACTTTTGGTTTGACCTTTGTGTGATCTTCAGGAATCTTCAGGAATCCCTTCCTCTCTTAAATTCATCTCCTCACTTTTGCATTGTTGATAAAGCTGGAGTGGCAACCCATAATATGGCAACCATGTTAATGTATTTCCACACTGTCCGGCATTGTTAGGACGTCCAGACCTTGTGTGATCTTCAGGAATCTCCCTTCCTCTCTTAAATTCATCTCCTCACTTTTGCATTGTTGATAAAGCTGGAGTGGCAACCCATAATATGGCAACCATGTTAATGTATTTCCACACTGTCCGGCATTGTTAGGACGTCCAGACCTTGTGTGATCTTCAGGAATCTCCCTTCCTCTCCTAAATTCATCTCCTCACTTTTGCATTGTTGATAAAGCTGGAGTGGCAACCCATAATATGGCAACCATGTTAATGTATTTCCAAACTGTCCGGCATTGTTAGGACGTCCAGACCTTGTGTGATCTTCAGGAATCTCCTTCCTCTCTTAAATTCATCTCCTCACTTTTGCATTTTGCATTGTTGATAAAGCTGGAGTGGCAACCCATAATTTTGCATTGTTGATAAAGCCCATAATATAGCAACCATGTTGTTGTATTTTTCCAAACTGTCCGGCATTGTTAGGACGTCCAGACCTTGTGTGATCTTCAGGAATCTCCTTCCTCTCTTAAATTCATCTCCTCACTTTTGCATTGTTGATAAAGCTGGAGTGGCAACCCATAATATGGCAACCATGTTAATGTATTTCCACACTGTCCGGCATTGTTAGGACGTCCAGACCTTCAGGAATCTGATTCTCTCACTTTTGCAATCTCCCCATTCCTGTTAATGTATTTCCTTGTTAAATTCATCTCCTCAAATTCATTTTTTTGCATTGTTGATAAAGCTGGAGTGGCAACCCATAATATGGCAACCATGTTAATGTATTTCCACACTGTCCGGCATTGTTAGGACGTCCAGACCTTGTGTGATCTTCAGGAATCTCCCTTCCTCTCCTAAATTCATCTCCTCACTTTTGCATTGTTGATAAAGCTGGAGTGGCAACCCATAATATGGCAACCATGTTAATGTATTTCCACACTGTCCGGCATTGTTAGGACGTCCAGACCTTAATGTGATCTTCAGGAATCTCCCTTCCTCTCTTAAATTCATCTCCTCACTTTTGCATTGTTGATAAAGCTGGAGTGGCAACCCATAATATGACAACCATGTTAATGTATTTCCACACTGTCCGGCATTGTTAGGACGTCCAGACCTTGTGTCTTCTTCCCTTCTCTCCTAATTCTCTTCCTTTTGCTGTTGATAAAGCTGGGTGGCAACCCAAATTCATCTGTCCGGCATTGTTAGGACGTCCAGACCTTTTGCATTGTTGATTGTTGAAAAAGCTGGAGTGGCAACCCATAATATGACAACCATGTTAATGTATTTCCACGCTGTCCGGCATTGTTAGGACGTCCAGACCTTGTGTGATCTTCAGGAATCTCCTTCCTCTCTTAAATTCATCTCCTCACTTTTGCATTGTTGATAAAGCTGGAGTGGCAACCCATACACTGTCCGGTACAACCCATGTTATATGGCAAGCATGTTAATGTATGTCCACACTGCCCGGCATTGTTAGGACGTCCAGACCTTGTGTGATCTTCAGGAATCTCCTTCCTCTCCTAAATTCATCTCCTCACTTTTGCATTGTTGATAAAGCTGGAGTGGCAACCCATAATATGGCAACCATGTTAATGTATTTCCACACTGCCCGGCATTGTTAGGACGTCCAGACCTTGTGTGATCTTCAGGAATCTCCCTTCCTCTCTTAAATTCATCTCCTCACTTTTTCATTGTTGATAAGGCTGGAGTGGCAACCCATAATATGGCAACCATGTTAATGTATTTCCACACTGCCCGGCATTGTTAGGACGTCCAGACCTTGTGTGATCTTCAGGAATCTCCCTTCCTCTTTTAAATTCATCTCCTCACTTTTGCATTGTTGATAAAGCTGGAGTGGCAACCCATAATATGACAACCATGTTAATGTATTTCCACGCTGTCCGGCATTGTTAGGACGTCCAGACCTTGTGTGATCTTCAGGAATCTCCCTTCCTCTCTTAAATTCATCTCCTCACTTTTGCATTGTTGATAAAGCTGGAGTGGCAACCCATAATATGACAACCATGTTAATGTATTTCCACACTGTCCGGCCTTGTTAGGACGTCCAGACCTTGTGTGATCTTCAGGAATCTCTCTTCCTCTCTTAAATTCATCTCCTCACTTTTGCATTGTTGATAAAGCTGGAGTGGCAACCCATAATATGACAACCATGTTAATGTATTTCCACGCTGTCCGGCATTGTTAGGACGTCCAGACCTTGTGTGATCTTCAGGAATCTCCTTCCTCCCTAAATTCATCTCCTCACTTTTGCATTGTTGATAAAGCTGGAGTGGCAACCCCATAATATGGCAAGCATGTTAATGTATGTCCACACTGCCCGGCATTGTTAGGACGTCCAGACCTTGTGTGATCTTCAGGAATCTCCTTCCTCTCCTAAATTCATCTCCTCACTTTTGCATTGTTGATAAAGCTGGAGTGGCAACCCATAATATGGCAACCATGTTAATGTATTTCCACACTGCCCGGCATTGTTAGGACGTCCAGACCTTGTGTGATCTTCAGGAATCTCCTTCCCTCTCTTAAATTCATCTCCTCACTTTTTCATTGTTGATAAGGCTGGAGTGGCAACCCATAATATGGCAACCATGTTAATGTATTTCCACACTGCCCGGCATTGTTAGGACGTCCAGACCTTGTGTGATCTTCAGGAATCTCCCTTCCTCTCTTAAATTCATCTCCTCACTTTTGCATTGTTGATAAAGCTGGAGTGGCAACCCATAATATGACAACCATGTTAATGTATTTCCACGCTGTCCGGCATTGTTAGGACGTCCAGACCTTGTGTGATCTTCAGGAATCTCCCTTCCTCTCCTAAATTCATCTCCTCACTTTTGCATTGTTGATAAAGCTGGAGTGGCAACCCATAATATGGCAAGCATGTTAATGTATGTCCACACTGTCCGGCATTGTTAGGACGTCCAGACCTTGTGTGATCTTCAGGAATCTCCCTTCCTCTCCTAAATTCATCTCCTCACTTTTGCATTGTTGATAAAGCTGGAGTGGCAACCCATAATATGGCAAGCATGTTAATGTATGTCCACACTGTCCGGCATTGTTAGGACGTCCAGACCTTGTGTGATCTTCAGGAATCTCCCTTCCTCTCCTAAATTCATCTCCTCACTTTTGCATTGTTGATAAAGCTGGAGTGGCAACCCATAATATGGCAACCATGTTAATGTATTTCCACACTGCCCGGCATTGTTAGGACGTCCAGACCTTGTGTGATCTTCAGGAATCTCCCTTCCTCTCTTAAATTCATCTCCTCACTTTTGCATTGTTGATAAGGCTGGAGTGGCAACCCATAATATGGCAACCATGTTAATGTATTTCCACACTGCCCGGCATTGTTAGGACGTCCAGACCTTGTGTGATCTTCAGGAATCTCCCTTCCTCTCTTAAATTCATCTCCTCACTTTTGCATTGTTGATAAAGCTGGAGTGGCAACCCATAATATGGCAACCATGTTAATGTATTTCCACACTGTCCGGCATTGTTAGGACGTCCAGACCTTGTGTGATCTTCAGGAATCTCCCCTTCTCTCCTAAATTCAGCTCTTCACTTTTGCATATCAATGTTTTTTTTTTCGGTGGCTGCAGTTGTAGGACATCCAGACTTTGTGTCATCTTCAGGAATCTCCCTTCTTCTCCTAAATTCAGTTACCCACATTTGCACTGTTGATAAAGCTGGAACGACATCCCCTTAATGTTGCACCCATGTCAATGTTTTTCTCGGTGATTACAGTCGTAGGACGTATAGACTTTTGTCATCTTCAGGAATCTCCTCTCCTCTCCTAAATTCAGTTACCCACATTTGCACTCTTGATAAAGCTGGAACCACATCCCCCTAATTTTGTACCCATCTCAATGTTTTTTTCGGTCGTTGCAGTCGTAGGACGTACAGACCTTTGTCATCTTCAGGAGTCTTCTTTTCCCTTCCTAAATTCAGCTGCCCAATTTTGCATTGTTGAAAAGCTGGAGCCGCATGTCCTAATGTGGCAACCACGTCGGCATAAATGTATGTGGGCTTTAAACCCTTTTTTTTCTGCAGGTACTTGATAACACATTTCGATGTCAAATTTTATCCAATATCAAGAGAAGCCGTTACTACTTACTTTGGAAGTTTATTTGAGCCTGGAAAGTAAGAATACAGTTCTTAATAAGAAGAGTTGAAATTAATGCATGTTCACAGCACTAGCATGCATTTTCCATTCTTTTCAGCCCATTTCAGCATTTTCAATATTATTATCATAGCGGCATTTTAGATAGAACATATTAGCTGTTATTTTGTTATCACTAGTTTTATTGCAGCTTATTACTTTTCCATAGCTGAGCGCGTTAAAAAGACGTTAAATAACGGACAAGAGATATTGAGAGGGAGAGAGAATGAGACTGGAACATAGAAGGAGAGGAAGAATGAAAGAAAGAAAGAAAGAAAGAAAGAGAAAGAGATAGACATCGTGTTATGGTCCAGGTTAGGACCAAGGAAGAATAACACGAACACAAGAGTAGAAATAACGAAGGTATATTACACGAAATAATAATACAAGATGTGGAAGGTGTTAGTATGACTGTCAGTCTGGTTTGGAGTGAACTACTATCGGCTCGACTCGATTCGTCCAGTTCACCGTTGAAATTTTTAACGTAAACATTAGTAAATTTCTTGTATTTGTCACCAAGCTGTTGCATTCTTTCTTTGCGTGGAATAAATTTGCCGACATAGACTTTCTTACCATTAAGCAACATGCCATTAACTTTTTCGATAGCGTTGCGCGCCGCTTCACCAGTTTCGAAGTGCACGAATCGATATCCTTTGGAGCCATTTTCATCAAAAACGATTTTGCAGGGCAGTATGTTGCCGAAGACAGAAAACATGTCGTAGAGAGCTTTGTTATCAATACTTTTATCCAAATTTTTGATGAACACATTACTGACTCCAGATTTACGAAGGGAAGGATCTCATCCCCGTTGCCACTGTTATGGTCCAGGTTAGGACCAAGGAAGAACAACATGAACACAAGAGTAGAAATAACGAAGGTATATTACACGAAATAATAATACAAGATGGGGAAGGTGTTAGTATGACTGTCAGTCTGTTTGACAAATCGGTTCGACTCAATTCGACCCTACCTCTTGAGAGGCGTAGTATACATAGTGTTAGGAAGAGTTCATTTTGTAGTTCATTCTGTAACGAGCCATGACACGTAGTGACAGTAGAAAGAGAGAAAGTGGAAGAGAAAGACAAGGGCCATTCAAAGAGATATATAGAGAGGGGGGAGAGAGTATAACAAACTGGAACAGAGAGAGAGAGAGAGAAAGAGAGAGCGAAGGAAAGTATGAAGGCAGGAAGCAAGAGAAATAGATAGACATATTGACAGTAGAGAGAGAGAGAAAGTGAAAGAGAAAGACAAGAGACATTCAAAGAGAGAGAGAGACGGAGAGAAAATATAAGAGACTGGAACATAGAAAGTGAGAGAGAGAGAGAGAGAATGAAAGTAAGCAAGAGAAAAAGATAGACATATTGACAGTAGAGAGAGAGAGAGAGAGAGAATGTGGAAGAGAAAGACAAGAGACATTCAAAGAGAGAGAGGGTGAGAAGAGAAAATATAAGAGACTGAAACATACAGAGAGAGAAAATGAAAGTAAGAAAGGTAGGAAGCAAGAGAAAGAGAGAGAAATATTGACAGTAGAGAGAGAGAGAGAGAGAGAAAGTGGAAGAGAAAGACAAGAGACATTCAAAGAGAGAGAGGGGGAGAGAAAATATAAGAGACTGGAACATAGAGAGAGAGAGAGAGAGAGAGAGAGGGAGAGAGAATGAAAGTAAGGCAGAAAGAAAGCGATGAGGGCGGCAGACACAATGACAGTAAGAAAGGGAGTAAAAAAGAAAGTGAGAAAGACTTAAGGATGGGAGACATCGAGAAACTAGAGTAAGAGAATGGGAAAGAGAGAGTGTAGAAGAGAAAGACAAGAGACATTCAAAAAAAGAGAGAGAGAGGACGAGAATGATAGCGAGGAAGAGAAAAAGAGATAAGGATGGGAGACACCGTGAAAGTAGAAAGAGAAAGAAAGAGAAAGACAAGATACATTCAAACAGAGAGAGAGAGAGAGAGAGAGAGGGGGGATAGACTATAAGAGACTGGCAAATATTAGGTTGGTGCAAAAATAATGTCGTTTTTGACGTTCAACTTCAAAAAGAGAAAACGACATTATTTTTGCACCAACCTAATAATGAAAATGAGAAAGAAAGAAAGAAAGAAAGAAAGAAAGATATAAGGACGGATGACACAGAGAACGTAGGAGAGGTAGAGAGGTTGAGAGAGAGAGAGAGAGAGGGGGGGGGAGAAAGACGAGAGATATTTAAATAAAGGGACGTTTTATTCTTTCTTTGAATGTTCATTGGCATTTGGTCGTGTATTCGCCGAAAACATAAATATACGTGACAAGAAGAAGAAAGACAAAGAGAGAGAGAGAGAGGGGAGGGAGGAAAAGAAAGACGGTAAATATTCAGAGATAGGGTGTAGACTCAGTAACAGTTGAGGGGAAGAGAGAGAGACAAAGAGAGAGAGAGAGTGGAAGGGAAAGACAAAGGACATTAAAAGAGAGGGAGAGAATATAAGAGACTTGTAAATAGAGAGCGAGAGAATGAAAGAAAGATAGGCAGAAAGACAGATATAAGGATAGGGGTCTCAGTAGCAGTAGAGAGAGAGGGAGAGAGAGAGAGAAGACATTCAACGTGAGCGTGAGAGAGGGAGAAAATATAAGAGACTGATAAATAGAGAGAGAGAGAGAATGAAAGTAAGAAAGAAAGAGAGAAAGAGATAAGAACGGAAAGCACAGAGAAAGAGGGAGGGAAAGAGGGAAAGGGAAAGAGTGGAAGTGAAAGACAAGCAGAAAGAAAGATAGATAGATAGACATAAGGACGGGAGATACAGAGAAAGTAGAGAGATATGGTGAAAAATGAGAGACTTTCAAACACAGGAAGTGAGAACATGAAAGACTTGGAAATAGAGGGAAAGAGAGAGAGCGAGTGAAAGTAAGAAAGGCTGAGAGAGAGAGAGAGAAATAGAGAAGGATGCGAAAGAAAGAGAACGTGGTAGTGAAAGAGAAGAAGAAAGAAAAAGAGAGAGAGAGCGGGGTTGGAAGAAGAGAGAGAGGAGGGAGGGAGGGAGGAAAAGAAAGACAGTAAATATTCAGAGATAGGGTGTAGACTCAGTAACAGTTGAGGGGAAGAGAGAGAGACAAAGAGAGAGAGTGGAAGGGAAAGACAAAGGACATTAAAAGAGAGGGAGAGAATATAAGAGACTTGTAAATAGAGAGCGAGAGAATGAAAGAAAGATAGGCAGAAAGACAGATATAAGGATAGGTGTCTCAGTAGCAGTAGAGAGAGAGAGAGAGAGAGAGAGAGAGAGAAGACATTCAACGTGAGCGTGAGAGAGGGAGAAAATATAAGAGACTGATAAATAGAGAGAGAGAGAATGAAAGTAAGAAAGAAAGAGAGAAAGAAAGACAATAACGAGAGATATTCAAACAGAGAGAGGGAAAGAAGAGAGAATGACTAGAAGAAAGAAAGAGAGAAAGAGGTAAGGACGGAAAGCACAGAGAAAGAGGGAGGGAAAGGGAAAGGGAAAGAGTGGAAGTGAAAGACAAGCAGAAAGAAAGATAGATAGACATAAGGACGGGAGATACAGAGAAAGTAGAGAGATATGGTGAAAAATGAGAGACTTCAAACACAGGAAGAGAGAACATGAAAGACTTGGAAATAGAGAGAGAGGGGGGGGAGCGAGTGGAAGTAAGAAAGGCTGAGAGAGAGAGAGAGAGAAATAGAGAAGGATGCGAAATAGAAAATGGTGAGATAGAGAGCGGGAAAGAAAGAGAGGTTGGAAGTGAAAGACAAGAAGAAAGAAAAAGAGATCGGCATAAGGACGCGAGATACAGATAAAGTAGAGAGAGGGAGAGAAAAACGAGAGACTTTCAAACACACTGAGAGAGAACATGAAAGACTTGGAAATTGAGAGAGAGGGAGAGAGAGCGAGTGAAAGCATGAAAGGCTCAGAGAGAGAGAGAAATAGAGAAGGATGCGAAACAGAAAAAGGGGAGAGAGAGAGAAAGAGAGAGAGAGAGAGAGTGAGAGGACTCTTCATTTGGCATTGGATTCTGTTTTATTCAACTAGAAAAGTATTTTCTATAACAAATAAAAGATCCGCTTGGCAAAGGGCGCCATATTTGGGGCAACGAAGGCGGGAGAGAAAAAAAAATGGCAGTAACGAGAATTTCTTTTCAAAAACATTTTCCTATTTTTTTGATTTACATTTCTTTTTCGTTTTCACTGTCTCTCTTTTGATAATAGAAATTTTATGAATCGAAATATGTAGACTTTGCTGATTACATTAAGAAAAACAAATTTTCATTAATAAAAAGAAAAAAAAAACATCAAGTCAGTCCAAAAGAGACTAATAAAATAAGTATTTACTTAGTTTCTGTCCAATATATATTGGATATCTTTCTATCAGTCTTTTAATATCAACGACTCTCTCTCCCCTATATATATATATATATATGTATATATATATAATATCTCCCTACTGCTATTGAGTCTCCTACCCTATATATATATATATATATATATATATATATATATATATATATATATTGTCAATATATAATATATATATATATATATATATATATATAAGACTCTTCGGTAAATCGAATTGAGTTCTCTCAGTCACTGGGTGTTTATGTAAAAATAAATACACTTAAAATTCACCTTCATCCCTGCCGTGCGCCAACAGCTTAGTGGTAGAAATTCAATCGGGTTTTGATCCTAGCTAGAGGCAACCGGATGTCTCGCCACACTGATGAGCTGTGATACAGCGAAACGGTCTGTCTGTGGATGACAATATATATGCTCCTGAAAAATTTATTTCTGTTGAGCTCTCTGGGGAGGAAATGTGAGTTTGTAAACAGTGACTATTATGGCTAATAATGCAAGACTCTTCGGTAAATCGAATTGAGTTCTCTCAGTCACTGGGTGTTTATCTAAAAATAAATACACTTAAAATTCACCTTCATCCCTGCCGTGCGCCAACGGCTTAGTGGTAGAATCCCCGACTGACGCCAATTCAATTTCCAAGGGGATAAAATCCAGGTGGAACTCAATGTACAGTACAGATCACGAATATAATATAAATTATATAAATTGTAACCATGGAATATTAGTGTTTATATAAACACTAATATTCCATATATATATATATATATATATATATATATATATATATATATATATATAAGAAATTAAGAAATATGGTCCAACCTTTCGACTTTCTTAAATCATCATCAGGGTAAGTAGAGACAAATGGCGAGTGTTGTTACGTAGGCAAAGTGTGTTGTGACGTAGGCAAACTGTAACGCGGGTTTCGTTTTAATCATTATACATTAGACCATGCGCTCAGCCTCGTTTAAGCAGCTACATATTCGGTGCACAATGTGGGTGTGTGGTATTAAAACATGCTCGATGTAAAATAACAGAGCTAAAATTCATACTAATAATTTTGTTCCTCACAGCGTGTGGAATATATATATATATATATATATATATATATATATATATATATATATATATATATGAAAAATATACTCTTAAGGTGTGCTATATTTATGGGATAAAGTGCTCAATATCAGAGATAGAGCGTGTGTAAATATGAAAATGAACATTGAAGTCAACACTTACAGGTGACAGGCTGTTTCATGCTAGATTCAATCGTCAGGCTACGAGTGTTGTTTTTTTCTCAGCTATTTATATATATATATGGGTCAATGGTACATTGTAAGTAGACTATTTTGGCGTTGGCGGAATTCCTTTATTTATTTATTTATTTATTTATTCGGGTTAAATTATTTTGTTTGTTTTTATTTTTTATTTCTTATATATTTACTTATTTATTTTAATTTTAATCGGTGTTTTATTAATGTAGTAAAAATTTGTTTATATCGCTTATTTAATAGTTTTGCTTTGGTGTGGGAAGATAATTAAAGCTATTTATTCAATTTTGGGGTTGATTGCTGTAGTTTATTCTAACTATTATTTTGGCGGAATCAGTTTCTAATTGGTTTATTACTACATTTAATTTTTTGGATTGATTATCTATACTTGTTTTTTTCTAGCGGTTAATTTGTCGGGATCGGTTTGTTAGTTTGTTTATTTATTTGGATTAATTTAGATTAATTTATTTTACTTGTTTTTATTATTTATTTATTTATTTATTTATTTATTTATTATACTGTATATTTTTATTTACTCTTTTCGGTTTTCGATTTTCAAGTAACGTAGTATATTTTTTATCGTTATATAACAGTTATAGCTATGTTTTCCGTCCGATTTTTTGGTTTGATTTTTATAATCTAACTAATATTTTGGTCATAATGTTTTTTTAATTTGTTTATTATTTACTTTATTTATTTGGGTTCATTGATTTTGTTTTTTATTTATTTATTTATTCTATTTCGTCTATTCTAACGGGTGTGATTTGGTAATTTTGGTGTTAATCTATTTTACTTATTTTATTGTCATTTTGTTTATTTATTTATTTTATTTTTCAGTTTTCGATTTTTAAGTAACGTAGTAAAAATTTGTTTTCATGTCTTTATTTTGAGATGAGCTCGGATCTTTATTTAATAATTTATCTTGCTCTGGAAAGGTAATAATAGCTATTTTTTCCTCCAAATTTGTGATTGGTTGTTGTAGACTGATGATCTTTTCCTTATTTTCCAAGATATTTTTGGTGTGATGTGCGTTTTCTTTTTAATTTCCCAGATATACTTAGAATATAGTTATTGTGCTGTTCGCGTATTTACTATTTATGAAATATGTTTTGTGTGCATAATTTCTTTGTTTCCAGGGTCCTTCAGTTACTCTTATGTATACTTTTTCTTCATTATCTGGTGATTTTATCGTGGCTTGGTATATTACGTGGTTTTGTAAGCAATTACTGTTTAAGGGACATTCGTTCTTTATTCTGCAGTTAAACGTAGGTTTAATTTGTTCGTGTGGTTTGTTGATAGTTTTCCTGTTGTGCATTATTTGTGCCATGTTTTCGGTGTAACTGTAGCTGATTTTTACTGTGTTTTTGTTGAATATTTTTGTACGTCTTACATCGGGACATGGAAATTTCTGTTTTGGACCTTTGAAATAGTTCCATTATCAAGCGATGTTGGATAACTTTTTATACAGAGTGGGCCGAAAATTTTGTCACCCCCTATCAAAAAGTAAGGAGAACAATATAAGAGCAAGTAATACAGTAATACAAATCACACGTACTGGATTCAGTTTATTCACTTTCATTGGTGCTGTCACACATCGAGAAGGTTTGTATGAACACCATCATTTTCGTGTCAGCCATCTGAAATAGAAAATTATATTATGAAGGAATTCTTTCGGACTATATATATTGGAAAAAATAATGTTTGCGTTTGAAAGAAATTACGTTCGGTTATTCAGTCAGATTTTAGAGGGTGACAAGTACTTTATCAGATTCCCTCAAAACGACCTGCAAAATCCGTTCGGTGCCTTAAAACAAATTCACGTTTGGTAAGCGCTGAATAAAGTAATGTGTATTGAGATGCAAAGGCATTTTAATTACCGTATTTTCCGGCTTACAAGACGCACTTTTTTTTTTCTAAAAAAAATACCCTGAAAAATACGTGTGCGTCTTCCAAGACGAATGTAAAGCAACTCCCAGGCTCAAGTAATCTTGGACGGTCACCCAATTGGCTTGACTGATAGGGACGTTGATTTGTATGTTGAATCATTACACTATAATGTTGGCTATCTATCTAATTCAGCCTTTTATATGGTGTAACCTCAGTACTTAGCTGTTACAAGTATTTCCAAGATTATAAACCTTCCTGGAGCCGAGCCACAAGCTTAAACATGTTCTGTTTATTAGCAGCGGCGGGAGATTTTCTGTTCTAGTATGCCATACAAATAAAATCGGACGAGTGATTAATGTAAACAATACGTAATAGTTTTAAATCTACAATAATTACATACTTTTTCCTTTCAGCCAATAATGTTTATTAATCAAAATTCATGCTGTTATTTTTTTCAGCCACGCCAGTTATAGGTGTAAATTCCGGTTCGGATGACATCATTGGACAACTGATCAACAAACGGAACTGTAAGTATGAGTGATTTCTTTTTTATTGATTGATTGTTTTGTTTTTTTTTGTTTTTTTTTTTTACAGCTAATCAACACTTAAAGCCAGAAGATATCTTTAGATTCTAAGTCTTTATTGAGATAACGATGTAGGGGTGTAAGTCTTATTAATTACCCAATAGCTGGGAGGGAGAATAATAAGTGGATTTTTACCTTTGCCGAGGGTATCTCTATCTATAAAAGGCAGGATGTGTTTGTGTGTGTGTGTGTGTGTGTGTGTGTAACGAATGCGCGGCCGAAGTTTTCGACGGATTTGCACCAAAATTTACATGCACATGCTCCGAGTTAGCGAGAAAGTCAAGACCCACTTTGCATTTCCCAACTCCCATCGATAGTGGAATTAATCGATTTTTTTCATGCTTCTACGACACTTTTCATGTAGTTTGCGGCCATTTTTTTATTGGCCAGAGTGAGAGCCTATAGCTGGCTGCCACGAATAGGCAGGAAGATTCTATTGCCCGGCGTGAGAGCCAACAGCTGACTGACACGAATGTAAACTAGCATGCTAGCATGCAAAAAAATCGATAGCTGCATTCGTCACAAGTGGGAAAAATTTAAATCTGCATGGCACTTTACTCCAATTGGCTCATTCGCTTGCTTAAACTCAACGTTGATTCTGATTCCCCAGAACTGGGTTGGATATGAAAAATTATTTGTTGTTAACATTATTTTTTCATTCGGTTTTTCCAGTTACGAGTCCTTTTTTAAAGCTGATCGTTTAGTGTTCATTTTGTTTAGTTCTTTTTTCGTAACAGATTTAATGTTTAGTATAGAGCTTAGAAAAAATTCGCAGTGTGAGATAGGCAAGAAGTAAGGCATGTAGCAACATCAGCACGGCAAAGGGCACTCCTTTAAAGGTAAGGAAGGGCAAAAATATTTTAAGTCAAGTGATAGCGATTGCTGTATGAGTCGTACGATTTTTG